AAAGGTGTGGGTCCAGTTTCAGTCTTCTACAGGTTGCCAGCCAGTTCACCCAGCACCATTTGTTAAATAGGGAATCTTTTCCCCACTCAATGTTTAAATGAGTGTTCAAGCCAACCTCCCTAATCTTATCTCTTCATCTTTTACTCACCATGACTTTGATTAAAATGTACGAGAAAGCTCTCAGAACTTCTCTCAGGTTCTTCCAGGAACTTGGACAAAATCGCTTTCCCAAGCATTCCTCTCTAGAATAATCCAGTTGACATCAAGCTAGCTCTATTAAAAAGGGTTTATGGTCACTCTTGGAAACATTCTGGAACTCGTGGAAACAATGAAGACTCTAGCTTGACTGTCTCACCATCGCCTGACTTTGGGGAATAGAGGTTGTCTTTTAGTCTAAATGGCTCAGAAAGAAACAGACAAACAAATTGAGGCTTTGAGCCTGCTGAACAGGCATCATTAATCCTGACAAGTGCTACCCAGCCTTCCTCTAGCTTACAGAGAGGACCGCCCCTACTTCCTTGATAAGCATCTGTGCCATGGAACATCTCCTGTGTCATCCAGAGAACATCAGAGAGAAGTAAAAGGATGCAGGATCCAGATCCGATTCTACCTCATACTAACTGGTTGACCTTAGACCCCTCTACCCTCTCCAAATCATAGTGCTTGAGAGATTCAAAGAAAATGTAAAAAAAGAATTTAGTACTGTGAAGTACGATAACAATGCAAAGTATTATTATTATCATTACAGTTGGCTTCTTATTTGTTCAGTGTTTTGATGATTAAAACACTAAAATAAAATTAAAGTTCCTGGGTAAGGGCACAAGTGATATAATATTCAAATAAGTCTTTATATTTAAGGCCACCTTTCTTTGATACACTTTCTAGTAGACATAAAGTAATTACCATTCTTGCGTAATGCTGTATCTCAGAAGTGGGTACGTGTGTGTGTGTGTGTGTGTGTGTGTGTTCTACGCCTCTAGGGAACTGTAAGGAGAGATGATTTAATCCTCAATTATGTCACTGTGGGTAAATTTGCTCTGAGGCAATGGCAAGGCCACATTACCAGATTTTAAGCTCTAGTTATACCTGGCCTGTGAGATGTTCTGCCCATCCTTCCAGAATGTGCAATAGAATTTTGAAGTAAGATGTGATGGTTGTCTGTAGATTCTAGGACTAAAGCCTACAGAGATCCCTGTTGTAATTCTTCTATTTAACAAACTCTCCGGTCTTGACACATCACTTACCCTCTCTGCCTCACTTCCTTCATCCTAAAGACGGGCTATTAAAGCACCCACCTTATAGCTATTAAAGATTAAATGAGTTGCATGTGAAGCACGAGTTACATGTGAAGATTAAATACTTGTGCACCGTGATGCTCAGTAAGCACTCGGAAAGTGTGAGCAATTAGCATGACGGTCTCTGCTGTTCTGTGGGAGGGAATCATTTTTGAGCAATATGTCTCCAGGAAAACTATGCCCCAGAAGAAAACAGATGGTTCCCATTTTCCCTTCAGAAACTTCACTGTTCTCCCACAACACCAGGACAAGGGAGAGAATGTCTGTGCCTTGAGTTAGATGGTCTGGATGATGTGAGTGGGCCCACAGTTGGATTTGGGGTATGGGTATCTCTTAGGGTAGGTAGGAGCCTGGAGGCTGAGAAATGAGAGGGGATGACACTAGAGGGACAATGGTCCAGCAGAGCCAGTCTAGAACATCTGAACTGGATTTAAGTAAAGCAAAACATTTCAACCAACTGGTATCTGGTGGCTTTCAGCAGAAAACAGTCAGCTCGGCAAAGGCAAACACAGAAACCAAAAGAAAGCTGTTACCCATGAGCAGGGCCAGCTGGGCCTGGGGGTGTGCACCTGTAGTCCCAGCTACTTAGGAGGCTGAGGTGGGGAGGCTGCCTCGAGCCCAGGAGTTCAAAGCCTGAGCGACAGAGCAAGACCACGCTCACCTTCATCTCAATATATAAATAAAAAGGTGA